ATAAAAAGGAACTACTTAGGAGCCTCGGGGGTAGATATAAGGGGTGTGAAGTCCTAGCCATCACACACGAAAGCCTAGCACTCTTGCCATTTTCTGGCTCCTGGGCTCCTGGGTTCGACTCCAGCTGAGTTCCCTCTGTCGAGAAATTTTGCCGACTGTTCCCGAAAACCCAAAACGCCTAAACCCCTCCTATCCCTCTCCCTTGCCGCCGCTGTCACCCTTCCTCTCGCGCTCGCCTTACCTTTCGCCGTCTCGTTGTATTTGTTTTTCCGTTGAGCCTGCTCCAGGAGCGAAGATACAAAACGGCAGCTGATACGATACAGTAGGGGCCCGAGTACTTTATGCAGACCCCTGTCTGATAAACCGTGATAAACCCCTTTCCTTACTGTCCCTCGAGGTCTGGTAATTCGATCCCTGTCATAATCTGTCTCGAAGGAGGAGGTGTATCAATCAGGGGCATGCATTCGCAGCATGACCCACGGTAGTCTGCATGCATGTATCCAGATGTCCAAGAGCTACCCAATCCCACTACTACACTCATTTCGAAACCCCCTTCAGGTGCTCACGGAAGCAGGGACGAGTCGGACCAGCCTTTTGGCTCAGCATGCTCTGTCTGGGCAATAATCCTTAGCGGCTGCAGGGGGTTTGAATTACAGAAGTTGTGTGCGGGGTGGGTTGGGGTTGGGGTCATGATTCCTTGGGAATGATGGTATCATGCTTGTTATGGACTTTGCGTGTGAGATACAGTAGGCACTTCTTTTTATTCGGGGCACCGCGTTGAAACAAGAGCCCTCCTCCGATTTTGCGAAATATGTTGGGGTGACAGGTTCCGGAAACCGCCAGATGTTCCGGCTACATGGAGACCAAAGTATGTTGGATCATGGGTACCCCCAGCCCCTGATAGATAGGAGTGCCATTGTCGCATCATCACAAAAAAACCTTCAACACCGGGCTTAGTAGCTGATGATGACTTGCTTCCTGTTGATTCGGTGTTGCAAAACGTCTCAAAGAACCCCTCAGCTCAGCAGCTTAAGGCCCGAGGCCCGAGGTTAAAAGCAGTTTCAGAATCAGGTTTGCTGCAGATTGAACCCTGCCAGAAAAAGGCACGGAGAAAATCACTAAACTTCGAAAGTCTAAACAATATATTGTAAGTAAAGAACAACCAGCAGCTCTAAATTTGCAAGCAAAAATGTACTTCCCAGACGATGGCGCATCTCCCACTTTTCGGTCCGACCCACCCCTCCCAGATCACGAGGTTGAGGGTTTAGCATCTGGGGTTCGGGTGTTTAGGGTTCCCGGAAACCCACCTAATAAGTTTGCATACATCCTGATTTTCCATCCTTATAGAATCGTTCTAAGCCCTGTTATTAATACCCCTTACACCGCCTTACACCCTACAAAACCCTTACAGAGAAACTTATACAATGCCTCTAGAATCCTGATAGAGTCCATGAGAGCCCTTATAGAACCCCAAACCCCAGCCAAAAAAACCTTAGAAAGCCCGAAACTCTCTCCGAAACACCCGCCGGGCCGAGAGAGGTCAGAATCACTCCGTCCTCCGACCTTCCTCTGCTTCCAGAGGTCCGGGCTCCTGATTTTTTTATTTATTTTTTTTTTTTTT